TGTTACGATTTATAAACAAAGATCACAATAATGATGAAATGATGTTCTTGCCTGATCTAGCATCTTGTCACTATGCCAGGCAAACTGGATTAGATGGAAGCCAATATTGTCCAATTTGTACCCAGAGAAGATAATCCACCTAATGTTTTCAAGCATGGTCCATCGAAGGGTGTTACATCTTATTAAGCAGAAAAGTTTATGGTACTGGATGGGAGGCAGAAAATTAAGAACAATTAAGAAGAAGAATTTACCAAAAGATTTGAGAAATCGATGTTGCTACCATCCAATCACTCATGTCACACTTGAAAATAAAAGTACAACGCATTGAAAATCATGTGCCGCTAACTGCATTATAATGTATTCTTATTGTTAAAAAATGATGTTAATAGTTAACCGTTTACATAGTTTAAGTAAAGTTGAAAATTTTAACAAATAGTGCTAATTTTATTTTTGTCTCAAAACCTATGTTACATACGTTAGTTACAATTTTAACATCATATATATTTCAACATTATTTGAAATTTAACTGAATACGTCCCTGCACTATTACTTCTTTTAAAGTCACGATCCCGACCATAGATAAATTTTAACAATAAATAGTTCTGACAGAATTGCTGTCTGCTCCGCCAATTGTGTGGAGATACACGAATTTTCAATTTTATGCCAAATAAGTAGCTCATATTGAAATTCTGACCAATTAAGTACTCGAACCCAAAATCTACTAAGCCAATACTCCTGCTGGTGTAGGAGATGGAGGGACTCACTCTACCCACAAAAAACAATTTATCATTTTTAAACATACAATTTCACAAAGAGCTACCCGGCTTTCCCAGAACTTCACTATAAATCTTCTGGGCGTTAGACTCGCCAAGCAGACTAAAGTTGACTATTTGGCAATGCGATTATCTTCCATTTTCAACTGGTTCTCGTATATCCAACGTACTCTTGATAAGATGCGATGGCTAACCAGTCTCATTGGAGCTTTGTATGGACAATTTGGACAATGCAACCCTTCTACTCTAATTTTTGTATAATTATTTTATCCGCCCCGTTGCCGAGTACAAAGCAGTACCTTACGTCGTACTTCGAACACATCTTTCCCACACACTCACCACAATTGATAGAAGTATACTCCGACGATGCCAATATCTTTTGTATCTGTAGCGTGTGGAGAGTGAGTTACCCTCACGGCACTTAGGCCTTACTAGGTCCATTGTGCATCCTCCTTAAATGATAGACACCTCCTAGCTCGTGAGCCAGCCTACAAATTTAATGTAGTTGACAACGTCGCCAAGAGGTGCTTCCCTTATATCGGCCAGTGTTAGCCGATACTCGACGAACATTAATCTTCTAATAAATGAGAGCGCCGAGCAAATGTAAAGAATATGCTCGATGGTCTCACCTTCTTGTTTGCACCCTCTGCACAGTGCAAATTGTGATAGCCCCATGATATGGAGATGCTTTCGTACTTGGCAATGACCAGTCAGAATGCCTGTGACTAGGCGCAGATTGTGTCTAGTCATAGTCAAGTATTTGTTTGCTGCAGTATTGTCAAAATATCTTTACTTTTGCTCTTCCAGCGGATTTTTCAAAAATATCTCCAGCATTTTTATTTTCACTTGCCTTCGAATTCTCAGAAAACAATACCTCCCTCGCACCCTAAAAGGTTCAATAACAAAAATTCTCAAAACACTACAACCTTCTGGTGCCCTCGGCACATAAGATTTTATGCAGAACTTCAGGATCTGCTGCACTCAGCTCCATTATACAGCCCATTCCAATCACGTACATAGTCATTGTCATAATAGTATACAGTATCGTGATTTAGGTTTTCGTGATTTCTCTAAATCATATTTCCCACCTTAAATATTATACATGTTATAGTTATAGTCCACATGTAAAGTAGGAAATGTCAAAATTGACGATATTATTTGGGTCAGATTACTATTGCAATCAGAGCATACCACCCTATAGTAAGGTATCAGAAAAATAAAATATTCTCGAAAACTGTAAAAACTCTGGTACTGAATAAGTTGTGGTACTGTCATGGATGCGAAGAAGTAAGTACCATTGCTTTATTACTTTCAGGTCATTAAATTTGTTGAATAATTGATTTTAAACAACTGACTTTAAAATAACTAGTTTTCGAATAATTGACTTTTGAATGTTTTCGAATAACTTAAATATTTAGCAACTATCTACATAGTCGAAGGTGGTAGGTATTTTTCTTTAATTTGTTATTTTTCCTCTTCAGTAACAAGTACAGTAAAGCTTCCATCAAAAACAAATTCTAAATAATTACATCTATATCAGACTAAAAAGAAAACAAAATAAGAGCCACCTTCGAAAAACAATAAATTATCGATATAATTTTAATAGTACCCAATGATTTTGTTTATTTAATCTCTGTGCCAGTGGAAAGGTCAATGCCAATTTAAATTTCTAAAATACGTTTGTGCTAAAGTAAGAGTTAATTAAGATTATTAGTACGTCATTATTATTGATAATATTGATTTTCAAAAGAACTATATTATGTATTTTTCCATAAATACAAGTGATGTTATTAAGAAATATGTTGTTTAGAAAAAAATCCTTAACTAATAAATATTGTGGAGTCTGGAAAAATCTTTAGTGATACGAAGAGTAGTGTATAACCGAAATACGAAATGGTAAGTTTGTAACAATTTCTCTAATTTTGTCACAACTGTATACAAAACAAAATAATCAATTTTAAATGGTTTTTAAATTTTTAACACACAACTGACACTTTGTTGAAGCCTATTATCAATTTTAACAGATTTATGTTTTTAAGCTAAATATCACTTTTCTCCTGTTGTAGTTATTATCATTTGTATATTAATCAATTTTTATTTGAATCAAGGCTCCAGATTTACAGCATTTTATTTTTTGCGTAAAAGATTGTATTTATAAATCTGTCAGTCATAATTGTTTACCTTTCTAAAGACATGTTAATAAATAATGAAAGAAAAAAAATAACGGTACATAATTTCAAAGAATGAATAATTTTTTAATGAAATAAAATACATGATCATCAAGTTTTTCTATGTTATCTAATACTTTATTAAAAATTGTACTTATAACGTGTGAGCATAACGTGTTTCTTCTTAGTTGGCCATGGCTGATACAAACAGAGATATGCGTCATTTCTGAGATAACTTTACATGTAGAGAATAGTTTCTACAATTAGTTGACATGACTGATTTATTTTATCATTAATTCAAGGAAAGTTGGGATGACACGTTACTCTATAATTATTCAATACTTAACTATGACAAGACATAATGTGCACCTGATCACAGAAATTATGACTGTTCCTTGCCAAGTACGAAAGAATGTCTACAAAATGGAGCTACTAGACTCCACCTTTTGTAGGGGATGCAAACGAAAAGATAATAATATTGAGTTTATCCTCCTCCTCCTTGACAAACGCTCTCATCTATTAGCAGATTTTTGTCAACTATGCATATAAAATTTAAACATTGAGGTAATAGTTTAAATTACAAACTTGGATTTTCTATCATCACATCTAAAATAAGCTTTGACAAAAGTTGACATTTTCCATACTATCATACTATTCGCTCTGTGCTAAAAAAAATGTATTGTGACCAAAGATCTTAGCAACGAAACCAAATTTTGACCCAATACATGCTAAGCGCCATGAATTTTAAGGTGACACTACAGAAAAAAAAAAGGATCGGCGCAAGGTGACTGCAGAAGATACACGTGGAGGATAAAATCCTCGACAGCACAATATGATATACCCGGATACTATAATTGTTTTTATATTATTAAGAAGTAATAATTATTATTATTTGTCTGTAATAAGCACTACAATAACAGAACATAAGCACTGGTATATCGTGCAAATAGTTACATTTAGGATAATATAACTCGGAACGGACAAGTAATTGAGATATGCCGTGATGAAGAGAAATGTTCTTAAAAATTTCTTTCTATTGGTAAATAACTTATCCTTATTGGGGGTTGGGCAATTTCCAGTACATTTCTGCCCATTGTCCTTTTTCAATGTACTGAAATTAAATTTTTTAATACGATTGTAGCAAAATCATATGTGTGTAATTTGAGTGCTTCATCTCTTAATTGGAAATGTATCCCTTTCGTTCTAAAAACACAAATTGTTTTATAAAATTGTATTTCTTCATTTTTAGGTTAGATTATATAATTTGCTACTTCTCTCTATATTTTGTTCTGCTGCTACTTGGGCAGCTATAATTCAAAATAGAGCAAATAGAGCTGAATACGATATGTATGGTAATTACAAACCCACAGAGTTCCATAAATATAGCACGGATTGTTGTATAGTACCGGAGTGTGATTTATACAGGTAAGAATAATTTTAATTAATTTAAATTTATTATTTTACTTAATTTAAATGAAACATGGCGATTTATTATTTTCAACCTTTGCGTATTTTTATGTTTCTAATACATATATTTTTTCTAATAGCCTAATTTAGGAGCTTCGACTTTTTCCGGTTGTTCTGTAGTGTGGCAATAAAATAATGAAAATAAAATAATTCTAAAATTCGGAAACAAATTTAAAAACTCCCCCTACAAGTTATTAACACCTTCCCCGAATCCCAAAGGTGAAACACATATTTACAAATTAAAAAAAAAAAAACTTTTCAGCGCCTGGATTTCAACCCAGACATCTTTGTTCTCTACACAAATACTCTAATCACTGGAACATCGTGACATTGACTATCGAGGTTCCCAGCCGATAGTTTGATGTGCTAATTTGGGCCAATTAAAACGTTAACAACAAAATGTTTACCATAAAAAGTTAAGGGGTTCGTCACAAACCTCAAGATGGTGTTATCTTATTTAGCTATGGAAAACTGACATTTATTGGTAGTTGAGTGTAATGAGCATTACATGTACACACTGTATACGAGTTGTGCAGTGTATACTCTTGCATCGCATAGGAGATTGTTTATTCGTTAATGTTATAATCTGATTAATATGTCATTTTTATAAGTTTAGTTATTTGCTGAATAAAGCCAAGTTTTGGTTGTTCTCTATTTGTTAGAATATGTTCTGTGATACTTATATTATAAGTGTTTATTTTTGTAGTTAGTAGTTATGTATGTTGTTAACTAATATATATATAGTGTGACAAAATAGAAAAATAAAAAGGGTTGTCAAAAAGTTGATCTTAATCTTTAATTAAAACATTTACAACGTATCTCTACCGATCTACGCATACCACTGCTGCAGTACTCACCAACAGGTTATGGGCATCAACTTTTAGAGGTACGATTGCAAAAAAGAAATTCTGACATTTTTTCTTCAGTCTTGTAAAAAGAAAAATGGAGGAACTGAAAGCCGAATTAGATCAGCTCAGAAAAGAATTAAGCTCTAAGAAATCTACTATAGTGTCCACAGCAGTTGGAGGTTTACCAGAAAATAGACATCTTGATGGCAATAATTACCAAGACTGGAAGTTCTGGATTAAAAACTTCTTGGTAGATGCCGGACTGTGGTGCTGTATAGAGCCTCAAGCAGGAGAGACTGTCGATCCAGTTACAGATCAAAGGGCGTTAGCAAAAATAAATTTGTCCTTAAAACCATGTGCAGCTGCAGAAACCAAGAGGTGCAATTCAGCTAAAGAAGCGTGGGACAAGCTGCAAAGTGTTTATGAAGACTCTGGTGTTGTTCGTTTGATTGGCCTTTATTCTAGTTTGTTTAAAATCCGATTTGAAATGTGTAAATCAATGGAAGATTATGTAAATAAAATTATTCAAATCGCTGAGCAATTAGAGAATATAGGAGAGCCTTTTAAAGACAATGTTGTTGGTGGAATTATATTAGGTGGGTTGCCTGAAGAATATAAACCTTTAATACTTGGAGTTCAAGGCTCAAAACAAGTAACATCCACCGAATTTGTTAAAAATCTGTTATTGCAACAAAATGTTAAAGAAATTGAAGCAAAAGACCAAGAATTAGCACTTTCCAGTAAATCAACCAGTCAGAAACCGTATAGATTTAGAAAAGGTATCCGGTGTTACAACTGCAATGGCTACAATCACAAAGCCATCAACTGTACAAAACCAAAAAAAGAAAAAACTGCAATGGCACCAGTCGCCTTAACATGCAATTCTACAATATTTTCTGCAAATGAATGGTTCGTTGATTCAGGAGCCACAGCTCATTTTACCTCTGAAAAGAGTTATTTGAAAAATTTCCAAGAAGAATTCGGTAAAACTCTTTCAGTTGCTAATGGACAAAAAATACAATGCACAGGCAAAGGAGATGTCGAACTATGTTTAGAAAATAACAGAACCGGAATTATTCACGATGTTGTCCATTCCCCTGGGATAACTATGAACTTGCTTTCTGTCAGCCAAATGGTTAAACATGGTAATTCAATAATTTTTGACAAAGAATACGGTTGCCGTATTACAAGTAATAAATTTCAACTTAATCCAAAAGACGTAATTGGTACTGTATCAGAAGTAAATGGCATGTATCGATTAAATTGTATTCCTTTGTTAGCAAATTCTGTAAATGAAGAAGATAACTTCAAGCTCTGGCATGCTAGGTTGGGACATCTAAATCAAGGTTATATGAAACTTCTCAGAAACATTTCGTCTGGTCTAAATTTTCCTACAGAAAATGTCAGTAATCAATGCGAAATTTGCATAAAAGGAAAATCTAGCAGAAAACCATTTGAAAAGTCTGCAAGTAGAAGAGCCAGAAATCGTCTTGAATTAGTTCATTCAGATCTTTGCGGTCCTTTATCTCAAAAATCCATTGGTGGTGCGAAGTATTTCCTTACATTTACAGATGATTTTAGTAGAAAATCAGCAGTTTATTTTTTAAAGTCTAAAACAGAAGTTTATGAAAAATTTATGGAATATAAAGCTGCCGTAGAAAAAGAAACTGGAAACAACATTAAATGCCTAAGAACCGATAATGGAACCGAATATAAGAACAAACCTTTACAAGAGTATCTTAAAAGACATGGTATAAAGCACGAGATGACAGTTCCGTACAGTCCCCAACAAAATGGTGTGGCCGAAAGGTTAAACAGAACCTTAGTTGAGTATACCCGTAGTATGTTAATAAACTCAAACCTTGGTAAAGAGTTTTGGGCTGAAGCTGTAAATACTGCTACTTATCTTAAAAACCGTGCTCCAACTAAAGCTCTCGACAAAATGACCCCTGAAGAAGCCTGGTCTGGAATAAAACCAGATTTATCTCATCTACATGTTTTTGGATGTAAAGCAATTATTCATATTCCAAAAGAAAAAAGACAAAAACTAGATCCAAAAGCTGAAGAATATATTTTTGTAGGGTACAGTGAAAATGTTAAAGGTTTTCGCTTTATCCATTCTCAAACAAAGAAATTAATACTAGCAAGAGATGCTGTCTTTATAGAATCGGACGTATATAACTCTGAATTACCCAATAATTTTTCACAAAACGATATTCAACAGCAGTTCCAGTTAATAGAAACTCCTGTTGAAGAGGGGGACTTTACATGTGAAAATAATTTGAGTAACTGTGAATCAGAAACAGAACCCGAAACCGAGACAGAAAAAGAAAAAATATCTGAGACAGAAAACCCCGAGGAATCTGAAATTAAAAACGTAAGATCTACTAGAGTAAGAGTTCCTAATAAAAGAATATTTAATGAAGACTATATATATCAAGTTATGACCGAATCTTCAAGTGATCCTAAATCGATTCAAGAAGCCTTGTCCAGTGAAAACTCTACATATTGGGTGGAAGCGATTGAAGAAGAATTAAGAGCTCATAAGAAAAATAATACTTGGACTAATTGTGAACTCCCACCACATAGAAAACCAGTAAAGAGTAAATGGGTTCTCAAGACAAAGCTAACTGCAACTGGAGAAATAGAGCGATACAAAGCACGTCTTGTTGCAAAAGGGTACTCGCAGACACAGGGTATCGACTATGAAGAAACATATTCCCCAGTTGTCAGATACAGTTCAATTAGACTGTTATTAGCCTTATCTGCAAAATTTGGCTGGCAAGTTGACCAAATGGACGTTGTTACTGCTTTTCTTCACCCAAAATTAAAAGAAGAAATTTATATGGAACTGCCTGATGGTCAAATATGCAAGCTAAATAAAGCTTTATATGGGCTCAAACAAGCAAGCAGAGCATGGAATCAAGAATTAGACTCTGCCCTGAAAGATATAAACTTTCAAAAATCTAAGTATGACCCCTGTATATATTTTAATTGTACAGATGGAAAGCGCATTATTTTAGCAGTTTTTGTAGATGATATTATTATATTCTCAGACGATGATAAGCAAAAAATGTATTTAAAAGAAGAACTATCGAAGAGGTTCCAGATGAAGGACCTAGGTGAAATACATTATTGTCTAGGAATTAGAATACATAGGGATCTTGAAGCTGGTACCATTACTATAGATCAAGAAAAATACATTGAAGAAATACTAGCCAGGTTTGGAATGACTAATTTCCATGGAATAAACTCCCCCATGGATTACAATCAAAAGCTAACTAAAGAAATGATGCCACAAACTGCTGCAGAACGTGAAGCAATGGCAAGTTTTCCTTATCAGGAAGCTATAGGAAGCCTTATGTATGCAGCACAGTGCACACGTCCTGATATTTGTTTCGCTGTAGGAAAGCTGGCCAGATTTAACCAGAATCCTGGTAAAGAACATTGGCAAGGAGTCAAAAGAGTATTCCGATACCTAAGAAAAACCTCCAATTACAAGTTATTGTACAAGAAAAATGATGATGTTTTGCATGGATATAGCGACTCTGATTGGGCAGGTGATTTAGAAGACAGAAAATCAACAGCAAGTTATGTATTTGTCCTCAGTACAGGAGCTATAAGCTGGATGTCAAAAAAGCAGTCTACAGTTGCGTTATCCACTACTGAAGCTGAGTACATGAGCCTTACAAATGCAACCCATGAGGCTATATTCCTAAAGAGTTTATTGGGTGAAATAATTGGACAATTTCAAAGCAATATTGTTATTTACTGTGACAATAAAGGTGCTGTGGATCTCGCAAAAAGTGAATGTTTTAGGCCAAGAACAAAGCACATAGACATCAAGTATCATTTTGTAAGAGAAAAATGTCTAAACAGTGAAGTCCAATTCCATTCAGTCAGAACAGATGAAATGGCCGCCGACATGCTAACCAAATCTTTGACGCCCGACAAATTGAAAAAAAATATTCAGTTGATAGGACTTGTAACTTAGAAGTATCACATCAAGAGGGGGTGTTAGAATATGTTCTGTGATACTTATATTATAAGTGTTTATTTTTGTAGTTAGTAGTTATGTATGTTGTTAACTAATATATATATAGTGTGACA